TCGGCGGGAGCGCTGCCGCGCTCCCAAGCAGCACACTCTCCAGTGCACCACCGGGCCGGCCTGAGAATGTCTTGCTGTGAAAAAAAATCAGCTGAATTACTTACTGATGTAGTTAATTTACATCCTGGCACAATCTCCTTATCTTCTGGTAACAAACAGTTCAGAGACAGGCAATTTGTTCATGGACTACATTTTGAGTAGCACTGTCCTAGAACATAAACATTTGTTATACAGTTTTTTTTTGTTTCTTTGTTGTGTATTTAATAACAATAATAGCTGCTAAAATTTATTGAGTGCTTGTTATGTGCCAGGCACTGTTCTAAGCCCTTTGATCTTCATAAAAACCGTAAATGTAGGTACTGTAATTATTACCATTTTACAGATGATGAAATCAAAGCACAGAGAAGTAACTTGTACAAAATCACAGTTATTTTGTAGCAGGACTTTGATTTATGCTCTGGCTGTCTGATTCCAGAATGCATAGTCTTAATGACTTAATAGTCTTAATTCTGGAGTCTCTTATCTCAGAACTGTTGATCTTCCTTTCAGAACTTCAGTTTAAAGGCTCCGTTCTGATGAGTTTCTTCCACCTTTCTGTTGCCTGAGGGGTTGTGATTAACTCGGTTGAGCTTTGGTCAATAGTAATTAGTAGCTTTGGTCTTAGATCTTTTCTGGAGCAAGAGGTGGAGATAGAGTGTCATTCTATCAAGTTAAAAGCAAAAGCAGAGGGCAACTTGGCCAAATCTATTGCCATTACAAATGCATTTGTCCTTTGATATAGAAATCCCATTTGGGGGAATTATTCTATAAATAAGCTTGCACACATATGAAATGCCTTTTGTACAAAGTTACTCATTGCAGTATTGTTCATAATAGTAGGAGACTGGAAACAACTTGCATATCTGAGAACAGGGAATGATTATGGTACATCCACATGATGGAAGATTATATAATTGTAAATAAGAGTGAGGAAGTTTTCTCTATGTGCTGATATGGAAAGATTTGAGGATATAATATTAAGGGGAAAATGTATATTAGTGTTTATCTATATACTGCTGTTTGGTATATATATGGTGTGTGCGTGTGTATATATATGAATGATACCCCTTTTGAAGAAAGGAAAGAAAAATAAGAATATATATTCATAAAGAAACAATGAAAGGATATAGGAGAAACTATAAAAGTAGGAGGCCATGGGGCTAAGTAACAGTATGGATGGAGACAAGGGTAGGAGTGAGATTTTTCAAAATTAATCTTTTCGAAGTTATTATGTGCTGCAACCACGACCTTTTTTTAGAAAGTAAATAAAAAATGTACATACACATACATGTTTTTATTCCTATGAGCAGTGATGTCATGTCCTCTCTCCACTGGCTACCCTCATCTCCTCCCAATTAGCTGGGGCAAAGAAGGTGAAACCTAAATGTTTTAAGCCTGGTACTTAAAACAATACACCAGGAGCAGACAATACACCAGGGAGCCAGAACCTAAAGAACAGATGTGGTGAATGACAGCAGCGGCCAGCTGTTCCTTCACTAGTCACAGGTAGCAGCAAACCACTTTCCTCCTTATAGATATTAGGATGAAATTCTCAACGTGTTTTTCCTTATCTTTTCTTCCCATAACAGTTTTCACCACTTCTGTTGAACAATTTCTTCTAAACCTGAATTATTTAGGCATAAGTAGCCATGTTGCTTATGTCATTACGAGTGTAATTATAATTTCTTTTTGAATCTGATCTTTGCCCATGCACAATGAATAAAAATGTCCTGGAATAGAGCCTATGGCCCATATTTGAAAATATAGAACCTATATTTATTTATTCTAAATTTTCTGTCTTTTGATAAAAGAATCCCCGTTGAAACTGCCTATTTGGGGGGAATTATTAGTAACATTGCCAAGAGTTATTTAAATTAGATTCACGGGCCGGCCTGGTGGCGCACTGCTACAGTGCGCCGCTTGGGAGCGCGGCGGCGCTCCCGCAGAGGGTTCGGATCCCACATACAGACCGGTTCCCGCTCACTGGCTGAGCGAGGTGCGGGTGCAACACTGAGGGTTGCAATCCGTTGCCGGACACGAAAAAAGACAAAAAGGGAAATAAATAAATAAATAAATAAATAAATAAATAAGATTCAAATGGAGCACTCTTCTTTCCAAGCTGATGTAATTCTTCCACTTTGAATTTAGAATTTTTTTATATAAAAGAATGAGTTTCAACTACAGTCATTTTTTATTGATTTTGCTGGAGAAAATTGCAAGTCTTTGTGTGTAGATTTCATATCTAAACTGAGATGTTAAGTTTTCCTTAGGTGAATAAATATATTTTCTTCAGTTTTACCAGGATTAGTTAGAAGAAGATATCCCTTACTTTTCACACATTCTTATTATAATTTCTTCTCTACCAGCTCCACCACCACAATAAGCAAAAAAGCTCTGAACCACTGAATCCTAGACATTTGACATTTCCGATCTTTTCTTTATGCTGAGTTAGCAGAGCTGCTGCCGGTCATCTTTAGGATATTTGTGTTCTATTTGGTATCTGTGCTTGCTACAAAAATAATTTGTATTTAATATTTGAATATTATGTTTCTATAGGTTTTCCTGTTTCTATTCCTCACAATAATTTGATTGATGATGGAGAAGCTGGATGTAAACTCCATATGGATACAATGGGATGTTACCTTTTCACTAAAATACCAAAGTAATTTGTGTTAATAAGGAGTTTATAGTGTTAATATAATACCGTTTAAAATTTCCAGTGTCCCCTGTTGTGTTAAACTGGACTCTCTGTTTAACTTACCCTTGACTGCCTGGGGTAGCCCTTGTGAAGCTCACGAAAGACTAGTGGCTTAGTTTCCCAGTTTTCTGTTCGTCATTTCTTTCTTCGGACCAGTTTGTTATAATCTTTTGGAGTTGTTTAGGTTGAATGAAAGTTTCCATTTTTAATGTCTTGATTAAACTGACAATATTCTTCTGCCTTGTTATTTCTTCTTTCAGATTGAAAAGAAATGCTAAGAAATAAAGCTTTCTTCTTCTGCCTTGGATATTTATAATGGGTATCGGAAAGTCTAAAATACATCCCTGCCCTCTTTCTCTCTCTTGGGGTAGAAGCCACAGCATGGATACAAGTGAAGGACATCATGAGTCAGATTCCAACAAGTCCGAAGATGTGTCCTTGTGTGATGTCGCTGAGCAAAGCAGCACAACAGAGGAGCCAGCAAGAAAGTGGGAGGGAGCTGAGAGAGAAGAAGAAATGCCTGAAGAGGAGGCAGGAGAGGAGTTCCTCAAATTTGTGATATTGCACGCGGAAGATGACACCAAGGAAGCCCTCAGAGTCCAGAATCTGCTAGAAAATGACTTTGGTGTCAAACCTGGAATAATCTTTGCTGAGATGCCATGTGGCAGACAGCATTTACAGAATTTAGATGATGCCGTAAATGGGTCCGCATGGACAATCTTATTATTGACTGAAAACTTTTTAAGAGATACCTGGTGTAGTTTCCAGTTCTATACGTCCCTGATGAACTCCGTTAACAGGCAGCACAAATACAACTCTGTCATACCCATGCGGCCACTGAACAATCCCCTTCCCCGCGACAGGACTCCTTTTGTTCTGCAAACCATCAATGCCTTAGAGGAAGAAAGTCGAGGCTTTCCTACACAAGTAGAAAGAATTTTTCAGGACTCTGTGTATAAGACACAACAAACTATATGGAAAGAGACGAGAAATATGGTACAAAGACAATTTATTGCCTGAAATGAAAACACAATGCATGGCTGGCCCCTGTTTTGTAAGCCAAATGATTAATCTGCACTTGAGAAAGCAATTTCTAGGAAATGTTTAAATAAAAGAAAGCCTTTCTTTTTTATGACAAAGCTTCCTCCAGAAAATAGAGAGCCTTATTCTTATACAAACCTATGGAGCACAAGAAAGATAAATTTCTTCAGGACAGTTCATAGAATTGTGGTACTTTTTGATGTTTCAGTAAACTCGAGATTGTCAGAGTTTCAAGAACTTTTCTCTCACGGTATTCCTATTTCATGGATATGACAAAGGATATTCCCAATTCTATTCCTTGTATTGAACCTTGAACAAAAACTTGTATGATAGTCATTTTAAAAATATGAAAGAGATAACACTTTCATTCTCTGACTTCTGTTCTCAAAGGACACAGAAGAAAATGACCCCAAGAGATCTGACCACCCTCTCTCTTGAGGCACCTCTCATGAATGTTGCAGTACAGCATTGTGGGCATTGTAGGCAGAAACAGGGACTACCAGAATAGAACATTTAGAATGTTGAGTGCTGATGAATATGAAATCAGAAATAGATGTGAGAATAGTGGGTCTTTTAAAAATAATCCAGTCAAGCGTGTTTTCTTTTCTGCTGGAATTTGCATATTTGGAGCCAGTTCCCACCACGGATTTGAAGCTCTTTTGATAGTGTGTGATTAGGGACTACATGCAGTGGGGTTGAGATGTCCACTGGGGCACAAAGCTCTCCATGTTAGTCATCGTCTGTAACCAGGGCTTTATTTGCAGACCTTCTGAAAGGTGGTATGATTGTGTGTGATTGGTCAGATATTCTTGTTTAAAATCAATAACCTTTCTTGTGGCAGCCTTTAAAAAGTTTCTCTCACACACAATGCTCTACCCAGTAAATGTTTATCATGTAAACATCCAGAGTAGCGTGTGTGTGTGTGTGTGTGTGTGTGTGTGTGTGTGTGTGTGCATGCATGTGTGTGTTGTGGATTATTTTTAAAGACTGGGGGAGAAGAAGGAGATGTATTTTTATCACTTTCTCTTCTTTTTTTTTTTTTTTTTTTTTTTTCCTTTTTTTGTCCTTTTTGTCTTTTTTTACTGACCGGT